CTCTTATCTTTTTAAAATATTATTTAAGTTGTGGCTTAAAACCACACATCATGGTAATTTATGTTTAAGATAAGCGAGCAGTGTATTAAGAACACAAAAATTAAGTTTTGTTAATATTTGTATATTATAACTATTGTTCTGGTTAACAAACAAACAATAATTGTAAAGATACAAATATCTGTTGTGCGCGAAGAAGGTGTGTTAAGCCCGCATAAAAATTGTTTACAAAGCAATTAGCTGAGAAAGAGATAAACAAATTTAAGCTGCAATAAATCATAACTCATGATTATGTTACGATTTTTAAACAGTCAAAATGAATAAGTTGTTAGGTCACAAAAAGGTGTTTAAAACCCATTTCAAACACTTAATAATACAAATAGAGACTCGTATGAGAGCTGTGGCACTTGATCTGAAAGATATGTAGCTCCATTAGATATTCCTCCCACACTCGAATTACATTCGCTGGCAGTTTTTAAGTGACACGTTTAACAAGAACTTGTGTCACCTGTGTGGAAGAATTTCGCTCTCAAAATAAGTCGTAGCATTCGTATCTCGTAGTCTGTCGGCAGCCAGATGAGTTTAATTAGCACTTTGCGCTGCATGGCCATAATAAATTTAAAAATTCTTGACTTTCGACTTGACACTGATTTTCCCCTACAATGCCTTCTTCATTTGCTAGATCATCGTTGTTCTTTGTCTTTTTGTCTCGGCGATAAGGTTGAAATACGCTGAGTTGCGAGTGCTTATCGGATGTGCCGTAAAAATAAAGCACACTTGCTGAACTTATTTATGTGCCCAAGATCCAAATATTTGGGCATTATGTCATGTGTATGCCGTTGGATTGGGCCTTATTAGCTTGACATATTTCGAGATAAGTACGGGGTGCATTGACCAGGGTTGGGGATGTGAACTCAGACGGTTGGCTGCACGACAAGGTAATTGGATATCTTCTTTCAACTCTGACTTTGGGCCACCTCCGGACCTCGCCTTTCTCCTCATTAATCATTCATAAATATTCATTCCAGACCCGGGCCACGCCTCCTTTCGTCGGCCCCGAACATTTATCATTATCATTTCGCCAGCTTCCTTAATTTTCCATCTCGTTTGCTTGTCGGCCTTTTTCTATTTCCGCTCCGAACATGAAATATCTTTCAGAAGTTGTGTTGAATATTTTCCTGCCACAGAAACTTATTATAATTTATGCAAAAACGATGACAGTTATTGAGTTTAATAACGATATTTTTCTTTCTTCTTGCCCAGTTGTATTTGCATTTTTATCGAAACGAAAACAGCTGCCACAGCAGAGGGAAAGATAGCTTTATGTGAGACACTTTTGCACTTGGGCTTGGGTTGGGCTTTTGGCCAGTTAGATGAGTGGCCAGTGATAAACCCACATCAGAATAAACTGGTCGCGAAAACTGTAATCAAGCCAAATGCAAATCGGGTTAACTGTCTTTTAACGAGTGTCATCAAGAGCGAACTCAAACGAGGATGGCTCTCGAGATAAAGTGATGAAAGTAAGGGCGTTCAAACTGGTGAAAGGTTTATATAATTCGCTAGCTACTTACTTTCAATTCACTTCAAAGCAAAACCAGCCACAATTCATTCGTTATAATCAGCCGTATCCGATAGTGCAATTATCTCATAGACATGCCAGAATAATTATAGGCAAATTAACGCTCTGCCTTTGGTCACAGAGCCCAAATTGGTCAAATCACATTAAGCAGCGCAATTGAGCCGACCGCCAGTAGCAAAAAAAAAAAAAAAACAATCACAAAAGCCGCAACAAAATCTGGCCAAAACAAGTCTGTCAATGGTTGCCGGCGACTTTGTTTTGTTTTCGCCTGTTTTGTGCCTGACAAATTCAATGGCCAAAATGGCTGTGAAACATTTTTGTGAATGTGACGGAAAAATCTGTAAACAAGCCGCTAAATGGGGCTGATTTAAACATCCAAAGATACGTTTGTATACACCTGAGAATAGGGTAGTATAAGTCAGGAATCTTTTGAAACTGTAAACTGTAAATGGAATAAGCCTTTGTTTATATCAGTTTGTATACAAAAATCGATCGTTAAATATTATTACTTTTTCAAACCAAAAAAGTATTGATATCTTGAGCTTGCAGTGACTGTATGTACGTGTTTGTATCTAAAAGTTTTCCCACATCAATGACTCACAAGACGGTCAACGGAAATGCAACTGAAACTTTCAATGAACTGTGACTCAGAATCTTTGAAATCGGTTTAGTTTATAAAACAATAAGTATATTAAATGTTTGGTCCAGTTCCATTTGGAGTTTCCTGCCTTGTTTTTATTTGATTCGCATAAATCAACAGTTTTTTTTTTTTTGGTAATAGCTGCAAAGTGAACCAGAGTTTGAGTTGTTATTGTTTTTGCGGCTTGTTGTTTCAATCATTTTTGCGGTTGCTTTTGATTTTTTAATAAACTTTTCGTGGCATCAGCTGCCTTGAATTGGCTGCAATGTGTCGCCGAGGCGATTGAAATTCTTATTGATTGTCTGCCCAACTCGAGCTGTTAGCTGCTTATTTCGTTTTGTTTTGCCAACGCCAACGGTCAGCAGCGCTTGAAATGTAAGCCAGATATAATGGCCATAACAATAGCCATAAGCTGGCTAAAATTGAATTGTCTCTATCTGGTGTACGTGAGTGTATCTGGTCGGGGGCAGCTGGCTTCAGATGAATAAGCTTGAGCTGCACTTAACCATTTAATTATTGATTGGCTCACCCAGCGGATACGTTAGCTATTTAAAGGTAAAGGTAACAGGTCAGAATGAGTATAAGGTTGAAGGTTATTTCTCTAAAATGTTGTCACCTGAACTTACATTTTAACACAGCTTAAAAAGTTCTTTATAAATGGAGGTAAACGAACAACGTTAAAGATAGCAAATAAAAGCTTTAATTGTGTGTAAAATTCAATCCTATTAGGGCATTACACTCATAATGTAAATTTGTACTTTTCTCTTAAAAGGCAATATTAACATGGAGTCCGTATTTAAATAATATTATTTATCTTATTATTGTTTATGGCGACATTCCATGGGCAGTGTCTGCGGCGGTCGCATTCGCTGGCTTTGCATTAAAAATAATTGTTTATTTATAGCAGTCGATTGGCTCGAAACCAGTTCGACTCGCCGGGTTAAAAGTGTGGAAAAGCACACAAACAAATCGCAGCCCAAGGGCTATAATGGAGCGAAAATAAATATGTATATACGGCAGCAGAGGCTGATATCATCTTTGGATAATTGCACGCAATTTTCACTCGGCGCCCACACGATAATCCCAAGATACTACCAGCTACTTCAACCGATATCCGTGGGCTGCACTTTGCGTGGGCCTACTGCACATCGATTGGCTTTACTGATGGCATTTAAAAAAGCCACCAAAGTAATTTTTATGAGCATCCATTTCCTTCGTTTGTCTTTCGGCCCGGCATTAGTATGCGGTGCCACTGCATTTTTCGTGTCAAGCATATGCGTACTGCCAGCCAACCTGCCCGATTTCCACCCGCCGCCAGCCAGTTGCATTTCCTTCATTTTCCTGAGCCGAGAGCCGAGCATTTCCATTTTCCGTTCCCAGCATGGCAAGCAAACAGCTAACAACAACCCACTTCTGGGGCCTTTTATTGCTTTGTTCTCCGGCTCGCATTCAATGTCTCTGAGCCTGTCTTTCATTGTTCCCTTTTTTGGTCTGTCGTCTCTGCAGACAGAAAATAATCTAGTCAAGAAAAAACCTAATAAAAATTGTTATAAAGTTTATTGGGGTTTGGAATATTTTAATTGCTTTCGATCAGATTAAAATGCACAAAGGAGGGCTGATCAAATATTGTAGTGGCTCGTATAATGGCCAATCCCTCAGGGATTTTCTCTCAATGTGCTTGTTTCTATGATGGCCTGAAAATGGGGCAACCCATGATTGTTGCGGCGGAGAAAAGGTTCTACGATTCGAGTGACCAACGAAGCAGAATCAGCTCAATTACTCAACTTTTGCAGATCTCGTTTCCAATTTCAATGCAATGCAAACACATTTGCAGCCACACGACGACTCTCATTTGGGGCAGAAACGCTCTTCCAGGTGGAAAAGTGGAAAAGGTGCAGACATGCTTGTGCACACAACTTCGCATCTCGGACAAGTTGAAGATGTGGCCCCAAAAAAGTTTTGGCATAAAAACTTTACCAAGCAACCTTCTATGGCCAGAGTTAAAAAGACAAAACAACCTCACACCATTGGCAGCCTTAACTTGGAATAAAACTGAGTTGTGGTCGTGCTGGTTGCTTCTGTATCTCTACACAGAAAGAAATACAATACAAGAACAATACAATAATGCAAGAGAAATAATAAACATAGGAAAATACTTTCACAGATAAATTATTTCCATAAATATGTCATGCACTATTATGTAAAATATTATGCTTATTTTTCTCCATTTTAAAGTGCATACAGTTTTTTCCTCTGTATGCTAAAGCCGTATCGTTGAACCAAAGTTATTTCCAGAGAAAGTTTCTTGAGGCCGTCAAGAGCGTGTACCGAAATAGTTGCCAAAAAAAGTGACTTTGGCAACATTCTTGAGCCTTCTCTGGCTGCCGTTATGAAATTGAAGCCATCCCACGTTAGTGGCTAATGAGTCCAGAAATTGAAAGTAAAAGTTCCGCACACCCGTAAGCCCCATATACTCGTACTCAAGTGCACTTATGCTCCATCTGCGTTCGAACCGTATTATTGTAAACAAATTTTCCAGCTGCAGCGTTGGTAAACCGGTTGCCTGGCTGTGAAACCTGACCTGCTGCAAAAGCCTGGTTAAAGAATGGCTAAGAAAGTGAATTTCATTTTCCATGTCGGCAGCCCAGGCAAAGTCTGCTTGAGTGCAGCAGCGAAAAGGTAAAGGAAAAAGGTTGTCCAAGATGTGGATAATAATAGATCCGATGAAAAACAATCCAATATTTTACTTGCAAGGGGAACATAAAATAAAATTCCCCTTTTAGATTGCACTTTATAGTTTTAGCTTTAATAAACCATGAAATTTAGGAGAGATCTTTAAGGGATTTTAAGTCTAGTAAGGTTAATGAACTGAAAAAAAGCAAAAACATATTCATCACTTCTTTAGGTTAAAGGTACTAAGCTCCTCTTCGGTTAAAGCGGATTTCTTGAGGGCCGAAAGCACTTCCACTGGTTGTTTGGCGAGCAGTTTCATCCTCTCGGCAGCCACAAACTCATCCTGTTTAGCCTGAATATCGTCCAACTGTTTGATAATATCGCAAGCTTCCTGGGCTTCGGCGATCTTGCGCCTCTTGCCCTCCACAACCATGTTGGCCATGTCCTTGTAGCACTGGACATCCAGTTTCCTGGTGTTTTCATGCTGGGCCACCTGCATTCTGTATTGTCGCTCCCCGAAGCACATGGGATCCTTGGGCAGAATGAGAGCATCCTTAATCGCCTTCTCCCGGAAGAACTTCTGCTCATCCCTCTGGCTGAGAAGCTGATCGCGAATCTCCTGTTTCTTAATCATTTTGTTTCTAGCTTGCTCTTCAACTAAAGCATTCTGTTTGGCTTTGGATTCGCGGATGAGAAGATTAGTAATCAGTTGATCACGAGACTCCAGATCATGTTTGATCTGACTAAGTTGGAAGCCCAGTCGAGCGGCGTTTATATCCCTAGCTTGGATTTGATCCAGCCTTCGCTTTTTCGTCCTGGAAACGTAGGTGGCAGTTACGGGAGTCAGAGCATCCAGGAGTCCCCTCTCGGGTTTATTCTTTTGAGCCAAAGCATAGGCTTCCCGAGTTTGTTTTAGCATTTCAGCAGATTGATCCAGGGCTTCAAGGAGTATTTTACGCTGCTCGGCTTTATTTTTTGCATCCTGGAGGCGTTCCTGTTCGATCTTCGTTTTCGTTTCCTGACACTCCCGTTGACCCTCTTCGATGGCCTCTTTGAGATCCTTTTGGCGCTTGGAGCGGTTCTCCGATATTTGGGTCATGAGGTCACTGCGAAAGGCGGCTGCCTTCTGAATCCTTCGCCGTTTCTCCTCCCGTTGCTCCCTTTCCACCGCTCTCTGCTCCGCCAGAGCTTCTGCCCGTTCCCTCTGCCTATCCTCCAAAGTTTGCTTGATGTTATTGAGGATTTTGTTCTTCACGGCCAAAGCGGTGTGAGCTCGAGCCACTTCCATGCCCAGCTCCCTCAATCTCTCCACATTTTTGTGGAGCTGTAGGCACCTGCTGGCCTCCACTTTCTGGCGATCCAACTCCTTGGCCAGACCCATGGTGATATCCGCATCGGTTCGCTCCTGATTCTGGCGAGGATTCATGTGAATTTTTCGCTCGGCAGCCATTTCCTCCACTTGCACTTTGATTAGACGATACAGGGAGCTAGCCCCCACAGAGGATTGAAAACCCATGCGACATGCATCCTTGTCCGAGACACAATCATCGCCATTTGGCAGGGGCACCAAGTTGGTCAGCAAATTGGGAAGTGGTTCCTGGGCAGCGGTGGCGAAGATTGAAACCCCGGGATTATCCCAAGCTCCGTAGACAGCGCGTGGCTCCTCCGATTTACTATTACTGTGCATCATGGTTCAGAAAGAGAATTCTACTTCGGAAATACAAAATCAATAGCCACAAGAAACAAACAGGGGGGAGTATTTGATCGCCTCTTCAAGTTTGTTAATTGATTTTGTTTGGTTTACTTTGCTTTAAGTCTGCTGTGTGTGCTACTAACCTAACAAAACGTGTTGACTAACTGAGCTCAAAAAACTTACAGAGTATCAGATTCGACAGTTTTCGAATGGATAAATAGAACTGGAATTTAAAGAAATATCAAAACACTTTTTCATAATTGGCTTACCTTACCAAGAATTTTTTTTCGAAGCAATAGCCTAAAAATAACTTGTACATAATTACCTTTAACCACCTTTCACGATGCTTAGTAGACTGGAATTAATCCATGACCATAGAAGGTTCTCTCTACGAGTATATCGATTAGCTCCTTTTCTCCTAACTGAAAACTCTGCTTCGGTTATTTTAAATTACTTTCTCTTCTCGATTCTCGGAAGGCATTGTAGCTTTATGCAACTACGAGTATAGTGCTTTTCCTGAAGCTAAGTAACATGTACTCGAATGTGGGCCGCCGGAGGTTTTTGTGGACTTCCAGTGGATTAGCATATTTGAGTGGGTTCTGGGCCATGAGGCCAAGAGATCTCTCTGCACGGCCACATTGGGAGCCACACGCTCCACGGGGGGCCAACTTAATGGGGATATGTGCATCAAAGAAGCTCTCAAGTGCTTTTCCAGCGTCGAGGGACGCTAGTTCCCCGACTATGTGTTATATGTGCCCCTACATTTACATACAAATTTGTATGGCAAGTCGAAGCTCAGCTAAACGATTGAATTTCGCAGCTCGATGGCGTTGCACTCAATAAAAATAATATTTTTATTGCATTAAAAATTGTTATTGAATGTGTAATAGGAAATGCAAAAGAAGATACAGTTACATATAATGACAATCGGAATTTGTTTTCCTACAAGAAATCATTTTATATCTTGTTATTGTTATAGAACAGCTGAGATACATAAAATAAATTGAAAAATCGAAATATTTTTACTGTCATTAATCATCTTAGCTGTTGCAAATCGAAAGGTCTTTCTCCGAGTGCTTCTGTAGACATTCTAGAGCGATCTGTCGAGAGTTTTTATCGTCTGGCTTCCATAATTTATATATAGTTATCTAACTGCTGAGCGCTGGTTAAATGCCGCCCCGTCATCGCCGTCTTCATCATCGTCATCGTAATCATCGCAGGCAGAAATAGAGGAGCCCCAGACCATCAGTCACTGTCCGCGACAGAAGCTCTTTAGAGGAGGCGGTTTTTTCCAGGCGGAGGTTGGAGGTTGGTGATGGAGGTTGGGTATGGCGGATAGAGGATGAGTAGCTCCAGTGGCAGCTGCAGCTTCCAGAGGCACTTTCCTCCACGCATTTGTTGCTTGTCCACGTTGTTTCTGTTGAGTCCAGAGTCCGGATAACCTTTCCATTTTTACAACTGTCAACGGCGCAGCGAATGCGATTTGCCAGCGGTTTGTTTTATTTTTATTTTGTTTTTTTCTGTCCCCCCCTTTTTGCCATTTATTTATGTCTATCTCCTTTTCCCCAGTGTCGTAATTACGCGTAAAGTTTTGTGCCTGCATTTGAAATTGTACGTAATTTTCCCCAAAAGTGTCAACGCATGTCGGGCTTAAAGTTTTGAAAAATGTTAATTTGTTGTCGTTGCTAATGTTGCAGTTGGATATTTTCCTTTTTTCTTGTAAACGCTGCAGCTGCTGTTGAGTTTTGTTTGCTGGTAATTCGAATCGAACGCATCGGGCATTACATGACACTCATTATTGCACATTATGTTTAATGGATGATGGAAAGTGGTGGTCCGTCCCTATGAGACAGCACAAATGCTCGACTGGCTGGACAATGGAAAGCATTGTTGCTTACCTTAATTGATATAATAAGTATATCTGCCACTCGCACGGAAGTTCAGCATTAAGTCTTTGGCTGGGTCATCGTCAATTAATCAAGCCAACTTCGGGGAGAAACGCGTTCCGTTTGGTTCGATGAACTTTAAGTTTTCTATGATATTTAATATTAGAAGTATTAGGTGTCGAGCATGTAAATGCAATAACAACAAACATATGATATTTGATCTGTGAAGTATTAAATGTCTTGAATAAAAATGCTTAACACACAACTTGGGTGTTCTGATGTGGTGAACAAATTTGTTTGGCTTTGTTAAGACGGACTTTTTAGACAGTTTTTGAATAATGAAAATGAATTGTTAGACGTTATAGAAACTTTTCTTATTTGTATCAAATTTATAAGTTTATTCTCTAAATTTTTTATGAAAATATATAACAAGCTGCATCATCCGTTTTTTTCCTTTTTATGAGTCAATGTTTTGTCATTTTTAAAATATGAGAAAAATTCAAAAAATGCAAAAAATGGATTTGATAATGGAAATTGATAATTTATTTATTATTTATTTAGGTATATCCGATTTATAAGTTGCAATTAAATTAGCACATATATTTGATTCTGTATCCATGAGCCAAAGGTATCTTTTTATGAGTTAATTATTTTGAGCTTCTCTGGTACTTTTTCTATGTTTGATATCAACACATTTAAGGAACTCTTTTAAAGCGAAAGCAACCCTTTCTCTATTTGGTGACCCGGAATGTCCGACAAGTGAGGAATGCGCACAATAGAAAAGCGCTTGAATCGCCAAGCACCTGACATATATCTATATATATAAATGTTAGTAAAACAGGGCTTCTCGTATTTCAGTGGACAACCACATAAAAGAAACTTGACCCATTGCCCCTTGGCAAATTCTCTGGCACTTGACTATGAGATTTGTAAAGTTGATTTTATTTTATTTATATACTTTGACTTTGATACCATTTTAAATTGAAACTTCCCCGTAACTTTAGACGGGCCAATCAATAAATTCAGATATGCTGCTGGTGGCTGGGTAAAAAGATGCAAGCGGCAGCAATATGGAAAAACTTTCAACTGCAACTGGCAGCAAACCCAAGACAAAGTTTCAAGTGCAATTTTCATATAATTTCCATACAAACAAAAAGACTGTTCACCAGGGGCCACGACCTCAGGTCGGGTTCACGTTTTATTGAAAATGAAAATATCAATTTATTTGCTATTCAAGGTACATATAATGGCATTTTGCAAAGACGTTTTTTGGCTTAGGGACTTTAGTATACTTTGCAATGGTGATAGGGAAATTTATTTGATAGGAATTGACATTGAAATATGTTTTGAAATTGGACCCAAAATCTATTTTCTTACAAGAAAGGTAAAGCTTTAAAAAAAAAAATAAAGCGGATTAAAGTTTAAATCATTAAATTTATTGAAGCTGATAACTGAAAATATTTTTATTGAGCCTGATTATTTTTTATTAAATATGTTAACCAAATTATAAGACATTCGGTTTGTTGGAAAATCTTTTCATCTCCTGAATCACAATTAAGGTCTTTGGGATGCTTTAATTTTGTGTGTTTTCTATGCTAAGTTTATGCTTCTGTGCCTGTTTCTGGTTCAGGACACAGAATGAATTTTAATTAAATTGCGTTTATAAATAATGGCCTTTGGCACGACCCAACACCAAATTGAGTTACATAATTATGCGTGGACTGGCGGTGGCGAAAAACCAGAGTTGGGCACAAAAAGGCCAACCGAGGCAATCAGTCAAACCCAAAACAGCGATATAAACATGTGGGTTTACTGGACGGAAAGGAGGAGATTGGATGGCGGATGGGTAGCAACATTTCATCGATATCAAAGTCTCGATGCTTACACACTTAATCGAATTTAGCGACAATTTTACCGAGTTTCCATTAGCCGGTTGTAATGGATGATTTTCCAATTACCGGTCCCCCAACCGAAGTAGCGATTCCCTCGCTCTCCCTCTCTCTCTGTATTTTTGGGGACCACACTGCGTATGGGTAATGGCAGTGGAAACGGCAAATGCGATGCCAATCGCACGCACATTCGTCATCCGCACACGACAACCTTTCTCTCCGCAAAATGCAAATCGACGGGGGCAATGCCAGGGCTTTGTTTCCTTGTGGCTTTTGCCAAATTGCTCGCTTTCTTTTGTTGCCCCCAAGTTATGTTGATGTTGATGTCGATGTCGATGTCGCTTCAACAGCCACATTTTGGCATTTCCGAATCGCAAATAAAATTGATACACTTTCATTTGTGGTCGCGTGTGTGGGATTGGGACTGGGACTCGAGTGTGCAGAGAAAAAAGTTTGCCATTAGATTGGGAATAGGTTTTATTTATTTGTTTGCAAACAGTATTGCAATAACTATGAGATGCATTTTATACTATTATTCTACACATTTTAGATTGTTTATCGTTGCCTGTTACACCTGAGAAACGTTCAAATTAATATTATCGCAAACTGTTGCACCAAATAGCTCTCGAATTAGATTAAATACCGCAGAGCAAAACATGTGTGAATGCTGAATTTCTCACCATGTGGCTGCGGTGGGATGAATATTGCGTTTGTCGTTTCCATCACAATCAATTTTTAATGCCCAGCATTCAGTTGTCCGAGATCACGAACCCGAGCACGTTCCTCGAGCCTCATGGGTTCCGGTGCGGAATGGAAACAAGATTTGCCTGTTGCACCGACTGGTCTCTGGTCTTTGGTCTTTTGGCCTTTGGCATCCGAGCGACGAAATCACACGCTCCGGAATTCTGAGCAGGCTTTGACACAAACGGGTCAGGTCTCTCTTGAGTTTTTCTGGCTGCCCTGGCTGTTTGCCAAACTGTTGCCAGATTTAAGATTGGCTTCAACAGGTGCAGTTCAGTGCTCAATTATGGCTGACAAGGGGCAGATAATTCACTGCTCGACTGTGGATTGACATCGTCTGTAATTAAATGCCTTTCGATTGACAATGTAAAACTGACATATTAACTTGCCTTTGGACATCGATGCAATAATTCACATGGCAATTATGAATAGGTGAAATTGAAGGCCTTTTACAAAACGATTGTAGTTATCTTGACCCACAAAAGTCATACAAAAATAAAATTCATTTCAGTCACAGTCTCGGTTTCAAATTAATTTTCTAGTTAAATATTAAAATTCAATATCTGCTGCAGCCGGCATTTGTACAAAGGCATTGTAAATACGGCAGAAATATGTCAAAATAAAATGCCATAGATTGTCCGGGGACCGATTGGCTGCACATAACTTTCCACTTAAATGCAGCTGTTGATTG